AAATGTGTTATATAGCATCTTCCCATGGGTTATTTGTCCCATTTGATAGATTATAATCTCCAGGAAAGCAAGGTCTGTATCTTTCTAACTTTGTATCCTCCCTAGCACTCAGGAGAGATTTTTGCATTTAGTAGATACTCAATAAATGTCTGTTAAACTTGGTTGAACTCACATTTTTTCCCCTTTATGGTACCCCCCCCCAAAAAAAACCCATAAAATAAATGAATTACTTTTCTTCTTTCCATTGAGATGTAGAGGCCCTGGGCTAGTGAGTATTTGCAAGCCCAGTTTAGAATTTAGGAAAGTCATCAATCTAAGAAAGGAGAGGAAATGAATTTTAAATCACAAAGCAAGGAAGCCTTATGTAAGGCCTTCTAGCAAAGCAATTATTGATGGCTCTATAACCCAGGTGCTAGGGTTATTACAAACAAAAGTCTGAGGTTGACAGACAAGGAATGATCTTAACTTTTATATTCCATAGGTATGCAATTAAATGAAACATGTACAGATGGAAAAGTTTAGATTTGAGAATCATGTGTGCTATCATAATGCAAATAATTGGCTTTCTTTCTGAAGAACATCTGCTGAAACATCTGAAAGCAGTTGCTTATACTGCTGCCAAAATGCTGAAAAATATAATAATTCTCCAATGAGGTTAGCAATATCCAGGGGAAGAAAAATGTTTTTTATGTAGCTCTCCTTTTATTAAATTTTGTTTCTCTAATATGACACATAGGAGATGTTCAACAATATTAGTTGAATGAATGTTGAGTAAAAAGCAGAAACTCATTAAACAGTTGTTGAATGAATCACTTCTTTTTTGTTAGATTTATAAATACATTTTCAGAAAATAGTAGGCTTACAAAATTTTATCATGTCATATACCATTTTTATTTGACATAAATTTAAATAATGCTACTCTTGCTCTTTATATTGTAGAATATAATCAGCATATATATCTAAAGGAGGAAAAAAATTTACCACTATACAAAATCTATACATAAACCTATAAATATCTTTATATGGCACTTTTATTCATTATAATGAAACTTGTAAATTTTGAATTGTAAGCTAACATAATTGTTTGCTTCAATAAGAAAAATTAAAATTTAAACCCCTCCTAATATCTATAGTTGTAGTATCTCTAAAAAGAGTCTAACGAGATAAAAGCACCAGAATATTCTGGGATTTGAAGAAAATGTCTGAAGATGAAGGTATCATTTCTCCCTATTCTCCCCCTCTTGAATTCCTAGCAACTCCCTCTTTCATAATCCCATATGAACTGGGTGACTGAGCTCCCAAAAGTCTGCCCAAATTTCACTCTGCCAAATTTCAGTACTGAAAGAGCATGTTAAATAATAAATGGAGTTGGAGTGTAACTAATAAAATTGGAACGTTAAATGGCTTCATGCTTTTGAAAACAAACCTCTTTGTGAGGATAGTCGCTGTGCAAGTCCATAAAAAATAATTTTGAAGGGAGTGGTAGTAATTAGTAATATAATTTGTCTTTTTGGAAGCCCTTTCTTTTGATAGCAGCCATGTTATAGTTCAAAAGCCTCTACATGAGAGCTCAAAGAAAATTATTCAAAACACAACTCAGATTTTTTTTTCTTCCTTGAAAACAAATTTATTTCTGTAAATCTAAATTATATACATCCACCTATGTAATGAGTTATGATTTATAAAGATATATTTATGTAAAATTTTGAATGAAATGGTAAAATGCTTGTAACTGAATTAAAGGAAAAAGAGCAGAGTCAAATGTGTGGCTTTGATCCCAGATTTTTTGGTTTCCATTCTTTGCACTGCATTAGGAATGTAACTTGACAAGGTCCAGGGTTTGCATCCTGATTGTGGTATTTCCTAGTTGTATCATTCAGTGCTTATTTGATAAATAAGATATACAAATCCTTAAGACTTTGTAAGATTGGCTTACAGTGGTTTCTCTGGAGAGTCAGGTGTAGAAAAGTGCAACAGGGGCCTCTGTGTGCTGGAGATAGAGTCCAATTGAAGCACTAGAGCTCAAGGTGGTGTCTCATGTAAATCCACCTCAGAAGACTGAAGGGTTGAGATGGAAGGCTAAGGGGTCTGTGCTGGAAGTCCAGAGAAAACATCCAAACTGAAGGTGAAGACTGGAGCTTCTCTGAAGAAACAGAAGGCAGCCTTCTTCTTCGTTCCCCTTTTATTCTACTCAGACAGGAAGCCTATCGGTTGCTGTCACTCACACCTACAGTGTGTTTTCTGTTTTCCATAAATCCCTTCAGCCACACCCACAATCAGATAACTACCACTCTAGTTACTGAACACCCCTGACAAGTTCCTTCGCGCTCTCTACATCAGTTCTGCAGTTAATAAAAGTACTAATCTCATAGCATGGTTGATTCAAAGATATGTCGTCTCAGATGATTAGATGAATTTTTCACTGAATTCAATTTGTAGATTGATTTGTTCTGTGTCTCAGTTTTCTCAACTGTACTGTAAAAGTAAGTAACAAAGTTCATCTAAAAAGCACATATACTGCTCGTAATAGTACTTGGTAAATACAAATTCCACTATGTTATATAATAATAACCACTAACATTGTTTTAAAACATATTATAATAATATTGTTATTTTTTATTCCCTATAATTTTAAGATTTATAAATAAACAATGTTGAATAAGTAGGGTTATCTGGAAGGCAATAGTCAAAATTTCTGGAGATTCATATGGGCATTTATTTTCTTCTTCATTACATTTTTCAGTATATATTCTTTTATAATAGAGTTAAAAATTAAATTTTATTCTGAAATGACTTGAACATTAATGTAGACATCTAGATTAGTTTAAAATTTATAACCAATTATTCTATAGCATTAATGAAATATTAATTAAGCCAATTAGTACGTGACAAAAATTTTACATTTCTGTACCTCATTTTACTTAATTTTAAACACTTTTGAACTAAAAACTACCTTTTAAAGCTTAATCCATGTGAATTTTTACAGAATAAAAGTCAGATGTTTATCACAATGTCAATATTTTGACTAAAAGTATTTTATTTTTTATTTTAAAAAGTCCTATGCAACCACTGGGATCAAGTCTTATTAAACGTTTTTGCATCTCAAAAGAAATCTCCAGCAGAGTGAAAAGAAAACTCATGAATTGGAAAAATATCTTAGCCAATCATCCCTCAGATAAAGGACTTCTATCTAGAACATAGAAAGAATTAAAAAAAATCAGGTTCCCAAAATTCAAAGACCAATCCAAACATGGGCATCTGAGATGAATATACACTCCTCAAATGAAGAAATACAAATGGCAAATAAATGTAAAAATGTTCAGCATCATTGATCATTAGAGAAAAGCAAATTAAAACAACATCGAGATTCCATCTCACTCTGGAAAGAATGGCCAACATCAAGACATCAACCAATAACAAATGCTGAAGGAGCTGTGGGAAAAAGGAACTCTTATCCACTGTTGGTGGGACTGGTGCAAGAACTGTGGAAATTAGTGTGGAGTTTCCTCAAAAAGCTAGGATTTGACCCCGCTATCCTGCTTCTGGGCATTTTCCCAGAAGAACTGAAACCATCATATCCCAGTGACATATGTGCACCTATGTTTATAGCAGCACAATTTGTAATAGTCAAATCTTGGAAACAACCCAAATGCTCATCAACTGAAGAATGGATAAAAAAGATGTAGTATTTTTATACAATGGAGGACCATTCAGTTACAAAGAAGAATCACATCCAGGCTTTTAGAAGTAAATGGATGCAACTTGAGAGCATACTCATAAGTGAAATAAGTCAAACTCACATGTGTAAATGTTGTATTGCCTCCCTACTGTAAGAAACTGAAAAAGCTAATACGATCCAAAATCTAAAATAAATATTGTGTAAAGGTAAGAAACTACTCAAAGGGAAAAGTAACTGGGATACGGGAAAGAAGGAAGGAAAAAGGAAAAAGGTGTGTGTGTGTGTGTGTGTGTGTATATATATATATATATATATATATATAAAATAACTAAGAAGACCATACTCCTCCTAATTCAATTAGTCACTGGAAAAGAGTAGTTAATACTCATATGAGTAAATCAATTTTGCATGCCCTTATCTGGTAATCTAAACATCTCTTTTGAAGATAGCAAATACCATTGTTAAATTCCTATCATCTTGCTTTGAAAGCCTATATTCTTATTGTTTTGGGTTTGTTTGTCTTTTTTGCTTTTTTTTTTCTCTTTTAAATAAAAAAAAAAGTCCCATGTAAAAGTCCCAAAGGTGCCTTTCACATTTAATCTTTAATTAGAAACTACTTTGGTTTCTGACACATATTGCACAGATATTGAAGTGTTAATATTACTGCAGCTTGATTACAAAAGGCAATGATTAATTTTAAAGCAGACAAAAAAGATAGGCTTTGATTACAAAGGAATGATTAAGGCGAATGTCATACATTGCACATTTATAGCAGTCTTTTGCCATTGCGGAAGGATAAGACTTTGGAAAAGTTTATATTTAGAATGCAGGATACTTTGTACTTTATAATACTTGAAGACTGATCACCCTAACTCAAGTAAATATTAAAGACTTCTGAGAGTTTGCCCCTAGCAAACCACTCTAACCCCAAACTGGGCCCAAGGAGCCACCGTAGTTTAAAGTCTGGCAGTGCAAGGCCGACTCTGAGGCCCGGCAGGAGCCTGAAGGAAAGTCTGTGGCCTGAGGTAGTACTTGTAGGTACCAGGTGCTGAGAGACACGGTACTTTGAGAATCTTACCCGCCAGAAGGAAGGGAGTGGGAGGAAAAGGCCGAGGACTACAAGTTCTGCTGCTCTCCAGAGTCTCAGGGCCCAGCTCCGCTGTCAGTGTCCCGCGGTCAGCGAGGGCCTGGACGAGGTGAGGAGCAGCGAGCTCTGAACGTCCTCGCAGAATCCGTCTTTGTTGTGCGTTACAGGATCCTCAGATTTGGTTATAAAATATTTAACAGAGGAAGAAAGGATCTGCGGGAGCTCAGGGCCGAGATGAGTTTAGAGTCCTTGTTTCAGCACATCATCTTCGCGGAGCACCAGGCTGAGCAGAGCCGGAGGGTGTTGCGGAAAGGTCTGGAGTTTCCGGTCCTTCGCGTGGGGTTTTAGTCTTCTCTCCCTGGGTGCTTGGAGCAGGAGGGGAAAAAAGCCTGAAGGTAGTGATCAGAGCGATAAGGGGAGTTTGCTTTTCATATCGAGGGAACCACACCTAAAAAGTGTCAGACCAGATTCTACCAAAATGGAGACTGTACAAAGATTGATGTGTTTAAAGATTTAATTTGTATTACAGTAAGGTCCGAAATAACCAGATGCCGTGAAAAAATTAAGAAAGCAGCAGAAGAGCTGAACGAAGAGAAAATCAAATTGGAATCTAAGGTATTGAAGCATGGAGCATGCTAAATATCACTTAGAAAAAGTCTTTCTGTATTTGGCTTTTTTGGGATATTTTACTATTTAACCACTTGTCCTTCAGCTATGAAGCACAAGACTTGTATGCTGGTTATTGTAGTTTTGTGTTATCTGATAATAGAGTTCAAAATCTGGTAATAGCTTATGTTCTATTGTGAATTTTCCTTAAAGAAACCAAATTAAGTAATGGAGAACTCGTTGTCTATTTTGTGGAATGATTAAGTTTTTAAAAGAGCACAATGTCATTGGAAGAGTAATTGTTTAATAAGTAGTTGGCGCAGTATATACATTTTGTATAATAAATAATTTAAATGTGCTATATGTATGTAATGGATTGACTATAACTTTCAAATGAGTCTGTCTTTTGGTTTTCAATTTCTACCAAATTTTGGACAGGACTTTCATCCAAAAGAATACCACTAGCACTTCTCTCTTCTGTGACATTTATAGAGTTCGGTTATTTTAAAAATAGAAACAAGAGAGTGTGATGGCTTCTTGAAGAAGAATTTTGAAGGGTGGGTAAAATTTCGGGGAACAAAGAGAAATATAGGAACAAAGAGAAATATACAGCGTGGCAGAGGGAGGAGGCAAATTTGTCCCATGCATATTGCAGGAAGAATCTAGTCAAAAGCAAAGAATCTAGTCAAAAGCAAAATTAGAGGAAACTTTTGGCAGTTTTTGACCAGGTTGTGACATGATAAAAGTAGTTTCAGGATGATCTTTCTGAGTTCTGACTGAGAAAATGGGGATACATAGGAAACTAAAAGCGTTTAAGTATGTCCCAGTGAGGACTTCTCCAGGGGTGTGAACAGACAGTTACACAAAAATATTTATTCAACATTCAAGTGTGAACTACACAAGCAGCATGCAATGGGAACTGTGAACAAGACTGTTTACTTTAGATATGTTTGTTATAGTTTATTACATTATGAAGAATTTTCAGTTTTGTGAATAAAATAATCCTAGGATCTCTTCACCTTTTGAGCTTTACCTCTTTGTTTCATTTCTTGTTCAAACATCACCCATAAAGCTCTCCCTGAGCACCTTGATAAAATTATTTTATTAAACAGACAGCAGTACTTATGTTTGCATACCCGTTATTTTGTGAGCAATATATTTAGAAAAATGTTTCACTCATTTTTTTATTCTCATTGTGTACATTCCCTTGTGTATGTATACAGTAGTATATCAGTGAATTACTGATTACTAATAGTGTGAAGATAATGGGAAAGTACAGTCTTTTTAGTTTAGTTGACACAAAACTCTAAATATGAATCTCATATTTCTATATACTTTGTAATGCTCCATTCAAGGTAAGCCTATCTGGTTAATATTTATCATTCTTTGTGGTAAAAATGTTCAAAATCTTGTAGTTAATATACAATAAATTGTTGTAATCTATAGAACCCTGCTTTGCAGTAGAACACCAAAATTTAATTCTCTTACCTAACTATCACTGAGTAACTGCTGACCAATCTTTCATCATTTCTCCTGACCCACTAGGAGGGTATATTTAAAATAGAATTTGACACTATTATTTAGTAGAGATCTACCTCGTGTTTTGTTTATGAATAGCAGATAAACTAGCTGCTACCAACAGTGCCAAAAGCTGGTGGAATGGACAAAACATAAAGAATGTCGTGACATAGCTTTCTTTTCCTTGAAAAACATTACAAGACTTTCAGGCCTGCTAATTAGAAGCTAATGGCATAGGCAAAATGTATATAACTAGGACATGCATAGTTAACAGATATATTGGTATTTAGATGATGGGCATCATTCTAAATACTTCACTTGGTGTTAACTCCTTTAATCCTGACAGGAAATCTGTGATGAGGCTCTTACACTCTCTTTGTAGGTGAGGAAACTAAGAGGTAAAATGGCTTGTTCTTCATATATAATTTTTAAAATGTTAAACTACCATAATGAAAATAATAATTAAGTGATGACAGCAAATTTTATTTAAACATTTCTTGAGCTTATTTTGAACTTTTTTCTCATGACATATAATGATATGTCTGAAGCTCTGCATCCAGGGCAGTAATTTTAAAAGGTCATGTATGTAATGTTTCTGGGTAAAATGCATTTTTTCTGGATTGGTGAAGATAGCATCCTGAAAGATAACAATATTTTTTAATATGAAGCTTGCTCTTTGTAATATTCTCTTTGTAAAATAGTGTTTTATCTTTGTAATACTTTCTCTGTTATGAGGCTATTTTTGCCGGAAATGGAAATATAATTTGTTGATATATACACATACATAAAAAATGATTCAATGGTTTGTATTAGAGAGTAGACAGAGCAAATCTCTAGCATTATTTAGAAACATTTGCTGAAATTACTAATTGACACAGCCTCATAAACGTGTATTGCTTTTTAATCAACTCATATACATGGGTTATAATACAATTGTATGTTACTAATAAAATTAACATATGAGGATCACAGTTCATGCAATGCTGATTTGTAATTGAAATAATTTGATTTATAATTATAGTCAAGGTGATATGTGTGTGTTTATAAAGATTTTAAAAGTGAAACTATAATTATAATGTAAATCACTAATGGGAAAAACTAAAGGAGTAATTATAAATTGTTTTCTGGTTTCTTTTATTCTCCGAGTTAATTATATGTCTATCTATAACAATGAAAATATATTTACTTGAATATCTGGCTTGGCATTTATTGACCCATTTATCAAGTGGGAGCAATATAAGGAGAAACTAGAACATACTTTGTATAGAAGAGTGCTTGAGCTATTATACAGTTGTATATTTGGAACATATTTGGAGCATTTATTTTGGAGGCTGCTTGTGGTCAGATTATATTTGGGAAGTACAGTACTCATTTTTTTTTTTTTTTTGGTTCTGTAAAACTCAGGTAGCATGTAATTAGAACTTGAATGATAGCACTTGCCTTTCAGGGCTCAATGGGTCTTTTAAAATATATGGTCGCAAAAGTCTCAGATTATATAGTTTGAGTACATTGTGAATTGGACAGCCACAGTATGCCTGGTTAGGTTTAGTAATATGAAAAACAGAAAGATGAGAACATGCCCTGATTTTGTGTTAATACTTACCAGTGTACCTAAAGATTCTGCTCGTCAAGGAAAGGCTTTATAATTTTGATAAGATAGCAAGCCAAAATTCAGGACTCACAGAACAATTATATTTTCTTTTAAGCACCTAAAGGTTTCTTCTATTTAAAAATGGTATATAATTATGATCTGAACATTTAATATTTATACATCTGATATAAATCCCAGTATAATACTATACTCCTTTAAGAGGGAGTAATAGAAGAAAATCTGAGGTTGTTTTGTGATATTTTGTTCATTTTACTTCCAGTTTAATTTACTGCATAAATATCATAACAATAATAATACTTTGTAAATTTTAAAAGAAAACAATATTGACATGAGGAAGTAATTTAAGATGGCTCCATTTACTTCTTCAAAATGTCCAGTTTTTAAAAATTTGATAAAATTTAGGAACCCTCCCATAAAATGAGTAAAGTCATATTCTTTAGTACGATATTACCTAATTAGAGAAAGAATAAAACTGCAAGGTATTATCCTTGATAATATGGAAATGAAGCCTTGAAATTGAGGGTTTTTTTTTTTTTACATTTTATCAAAGAATTTACATCTGCCTAATAATTTCACTTTATTGTTTGTTAAAAGTTGCTTAAAATATGGATGCATTATTTTCTCTGCTTAACATTTATTTAAGTAGCATGTGAGTTAATTAATCTTCATTTTAGGAAATCTTCATTTTAGAAAATAAAATGAAAATTCTATTTTTCACTGTATTTCACTGTATTTTCATCAGTTGTGACCAAGAATGTTGTAAGAACGTTTACAATTTGTTGCTTACAAACTCTCTATGACTTCTTCAAGAAAGTTGCTTTAAATCAATTGGCTTAAAATGTTGAAACTCCTCAAGGAAACAAAAGGAAGATGGAATCTGGAACATAATCAAATTAGATTACATAAGAGGACAGCCATCTCTTGTATTATAAAAAACTTAAAAAAAAACAGCTAACATTTAGTAAGTCCTTATATAAGTCCTTTTTATAAATATTATCTCAGTTCTCACAAAGAATCCTGTGAGGTATTGTTTCCCACTTACATTTAATAAAATTGTCTCAGCAGAATTAAGTAACTAGCATGGGCTCATGTTAAGTGTTAAGTAGCGAATCTAAGATTTGAAACTATGTTGTTTGACTGGAGAGCTCTCGGCATTAACCACTATACTATAGTATAGTATAAAAAAAGAAGGAAAGGTTAAAGAGGAGATGCAAAGAAGTTTAAAGAACTCGTGATACAAAATTAAAGACATGACTCACTAAGAGTTGTCTCTGAGCTTTATTATGTCAAAACATTATTTAATTACTGTATGTGTCAGTTATTTTTAAAGAATATTAAAAATGTGCCATTTATTCCTCTGCTTTATCAGTTGGGTAGCCTTATATAACCAAGCAGTGCCATTCTTTTGGAAAGATTTCCTGTAATCTTCTGGCTATTCATTAGTAAACATCCCTATCTGCCAAGAAGCTTTAGTCCCCCCCCCCCAAGGGACTTGAAGTCAGAGGAAATTACCCATTCTTTAGAAAGTGGTCACTATCAGCTTAGGGTTTTTCTCATTGTTAGTAATGAAAATTGAGTTCAAAACAGCTTGAACTGCCAGGGATACAGCTCTGTGCCATAAGCGCCTGTTTGGCAAGTGCAAGGTCCTGAATTTGATTTCTGGTACTACCAAAGAAAAAAAAGAAAGAAAAATGACCAAAAAAAAAAAAATTGGCCTAAACAACAATGGGAAATTACTGACTTGAAAAAAATGGCCTAAACAAAAATGGGAAATTACTGACTTGAAAAAATGGCCTAAACAACAATGGGAAATTACTGACTTGAAAACACACAGTTGATTTGATATTTTAATGAATCATAATTGTATCAGGTTGCTTAT